CCAGCTGATCCTAAACAACATCAGCCATCCCAACATTTCTCTTGTTCAGTGTTAGAATCCAGACACTTGAAGAGATTGTATAGTATAGGGGAGAGGATGACCTAGTGGTATTATCGCTGGACTGTTAATCCAAGAGATCCAGGTAATGTTCTGGGGATTCAAGTTCAAATCCCACCATTACAGAATCAGAATTCCATAAAAGCCTGGAATCAAAAGTCTAATGATGACCATGAATTCGTTGTCAGCAAAATCCATCTGGTTCACTAATGTCCTTTAGGGAAGGAATCTGCCATCCTTACCTGGTCTGGCCTACATGTGTTCACTGGGGTCTCTATATAGTGCACCCTGTTTATTTTTTTAATCTGTCCTTCTAAACCTTGGCTGTGCTTTGAATAAGCTGATTCAGCCGTCTTTAACACTGGGATATATTTGTGGTGAATGTAGATTCGTCACTGTATAACATGGAGGTTCAGTCCTGATGGAAAAGGTCTGTCATAGAGTCATACAGCACAGAAACAGACCGTTCGGTCCAACCAGTCCATGCTGACCATAATCCCAGACCAAACTAGTCCCATATGCCTGCTCCTGGCCCATATTCCTCCCAACCTTTACTATTCATATACTTATCCAAATGTCTTTTAAACGTTGTAACTGTAGCCACATCCACTACTTCCTCTCGAAGTTCATTCCACACACGAACCACCTTCTGTGTAATAATGTTGCCCCTCATGTCTTTTTTAAAATCTTTCTCGTCTCACCTTTAGTCTTGAAATCCCCCCCTGGAGGAAAGACACCTGTCATCCAACTTATCTATGCCCCTCATGATTTTATAACCCTCTATAAGGTCACCCCTCCATCCCCTATGCTCTAGTAAAAGAAGTCCCAGCCTATCCAGCCTCTCCATATAACTCAAACTTTCCATTTCTGTCAACATCCTGGTAAATCTCTTCCGAACCCTCTCCAGCTTAATAATATTCTTCCTATAACAGGGCGACCAGAACTGGACACAGTACTCCAGAAGAGGTCTCACCAATGTCCTGTACAACCTCAAAATAACGTCCCAATTCCTAAATTCAGAAGGTCTGAGCAATGAAGGCAAGCAAGGCTGGAATCGAACCCTGGTGCTGTGAGGCAGCAGGGCTAACCACTGAGCCAATGTAACATTGTCATTGTATAACACTGGGGTATGGTACTTTAAGAAACAATGCTCATGAGAATGTGGGCATTGCTGGCAGAGTTAACATTAGCTGCCGGTCCCTAATTGCCCCCTTATCTGAATGGCTTGCTAAGCCATTTCAAGGGCAGTGGGTGTGGAGTCACATATACACAAGGTAAAACAAAGATGACAGTTTCCTTCCCTAAAGGATATTAGTGAACCAGATGGGTTTTTAATGACAATTGACAATGGTTAACATTTGGCTAGCTCTTAATTCCAGATTTTTATTTAATTCAAAATTACACTATCTGCTGTGGTTGAATTCAAACCCATGACCCCAGAACATTAACCTGGGGTCCTGGATTACAAGTCCAGTGACACTGCCACTACCTCCCCTATGGGTGGGGACAGGTCCATCACTGTATAGCAATGGGGGCCCATACTGGTGGGGACAGGTCTGTTGCTATTTGACACTGCACTACAGTACTGCAGGACAGCACGGTGGCTCAGTGGTCAGCACTGCTGCCTCACAGACCCAGGTCCGATTCCAGCCTCAGGCGACTGTCTGTGTGGGGTTTGCACATTCTCCCTGTGTCTGCTTGGGTTTCCTCCCAAAGTCCAAAGATGTGCAGGTTAGGGTGGATTGGCCATGCTAAATTACCCCATAGTGTCCAGGGATGTGCAGGTTAGGGTGGATTGGCCGTGCTAAATTGCCCCATAGTGTCCAGGGATGTGCAGGTTAGGGTGGATTGGCCGTGCTAAATTACCCCATAGTCTCCAGGGATGTGCAGGTTAGGGTGGATTGGCCGTGCTAAATTACCCCATAGTGCCCAGGGATGTGCAGGTTAGGGTGGATTGGCCGTGCTAACTTGCCCCGTAGTGTCCAGGGATGTGTAAGTTAGGTGGATTAGCCATGGGAAATGCAGGGTTATAGGGATAAGGTATGAGGGTGAGTCTGACTGTGATGCTTTTTGTAGAGTCGGTGCGGACTTGTTGGGCTCAATGGCCTGTTTCCACACTGTAGGGATTCTATTCTATGATCTACAGTACTAGTTGGGTTCCATCACTGTAGGGCACTGTGCGGTACAGTGATAGTGGGGGCCATTGTCATTGTATCATATGGGTACAGTTCCAGTGGGAACAAGGTTCTCACTGTGTACAAGAAGTGTACATTACTGTTGGGAACAGGTCTGTAACAGTGGAGTCAGTGCTGGTCAGTCAGATCTGTCACTGTATAACACTGGAGTACAGTAGTTTTTGGGGACAGATCTCATTGCATAAGACTAGAGTACAGTTAAAGTTAGTATAGGTTCTGTACAGCACTGGGGAGCAATACTGTTGGGCACATGTCTGTCCCTGTAAAAGACTGGGGTACAGTACTGGTGGGGACAGGTCTGTCCCTATTTAACACTGGGGTACAGTACACGTGGGGACAGGTCTGTCCCTATTTAACATTGGGGTATAGTACCGGTGGGGACAGGTCTCTCCCTATTTAACACTGGGGTATAGCACAGGTGGGGGCAGTTCTGTCGCTGTATAACACTGGGATACAGTACTGGTGGGGACATGTCTGTCTGTATAATCCTGGAGTACAGTACAGGTGGGGACAGGTCTGTCGCTGTATAACACTGGGGTACAGTACAGGTGGGGACAGGTCTGTCACTGTATAACACTGGGGTACAGTACCGGTGGGGGACAGGTCTGTCACTGTATAACACTGGGGTACAGTACAGGTGGGGACAGGTCTGTCACTGTATAACACTGGGGTACAGTACCAGTGGGGGACAGGTCTGTCGCTGTATAACACTGGGGTACAGTACTGGTGGGGGACAGGTCTGTCACTGTATAGCACTGGGGTCCAGTACCGGTGGGGACAGGTCTGTCACTGTATAACACTGGGGTACAGTACCGATGGGGACAGGTCTGTCGCTGTATAACACTGGGGTATAGTACAGTACTGCCAAATGTCTGAAGTCAATGTTTCCTGGGAGACCATTTACTGTACTTCCCTCCTGTACAGCTGATCCAGTGTTCCACATGTGCATAAGTGACCTAGGCAATGATCAAAGGATCTGCAGCCCTTCTCTCTTTCCAGTCACTGACAGCACAGATGTTGATGGAGCCTGAGCCCCTCACTAACCTCGGGCTTCAGTGTACCTGAGCTGGATGAGGGTCTTAGGCCAAGTAGTTGGTGGAGTGGCAGCAATCAATGCCCCATGCCCCCTTGCTGTAATTACCACCACTAAAGAAATTCACTGATTTTCACCATACAGGGACAGGTCGGAGATTTGGCCCATTGCATCTGTACTGGCCTTTTCTAAGACTCCACGCCATAGCCCTGTGCACCTTTTCTGTTGACTAATTACCGTGGGAGTTGCATCTACCCCCCTATCAGGCTGCATATTGCAAAGGACAAGTCAAGTTGCCAGTCCTACTAGTCAGTAGGGCTAATCTCCCATTAGAGAGGGATGGTTAGCAGTGGTTGAACATGAGGCAAGGGGGCAGGCTGAGAAGGAGAGTCCTTCATGGTAATCCCAACCAGTGTGGCAAATGAATCCAAGCTGTTGACATGATGAACAAGCGAACCATCTGAGCTAACTGACCGTCCCCTTTGCAAATGATGCCAAACCACCAGATGTACAGCAGTTGATAAGGAAAGCAAATGGAATTTTGGCACTTCTTGCTTAAAGAAAAGAGTTCAAAAGTTGGGATGTGTTGCTGCAATTGTACAAGGCACTATTGAGACTACACCTTGAGTACTGCGTACAATTTTAGTCCCCTTATTTGAGGAGGAATTAGCTGCATTGGAGGCAGTTCAGAGGAGGTTCACTCAATTGATTCCAGCGATGAGGGATTCGTCTTACAATGAGAGATTGAGCAGTTTTGGCCTAAACTTGCTCGAGTTGAGAAGAAAGCGAGGAGATCTAATTGCGGTACACAAAACACTAAAGGGGGATTGACAAAGTAGATGTAGAGAGGATGTTTCATGTGGGGCAATCTAGAAAGAGGCGGTCATAGTTTTAGTATAAGGGGCAGCAAATTCAAAACAGTGATGAGGAGGAATTTCTTCTCTCAAAGGATTGTGAATCTGTGGAACTCACTCCCTCAGAATGTGGTGGATGCCAGGACATTGAGTAACTTTAAGAAGGAGATAGGCAGATTTTTAATTACTAAGGGGTTGAAGGGTTATAGGGAGCAGTGCAGAATGGTGCAGTTGAGGCACAGATGAGATCGGTCATGATCATAATCGAATGGCACAGCAGGCTTGAAGAGCTGAACTGCCTACTCCTGCTCCTAGTTCACGTTTAACCTGAGGGGGGAGGTCAGGGGAGAGGTTGAGAAGGGATTTTTGTGGGAGAGGTTGAGAAGGGATTTTTGTGGTAACTTTAGCCGGTCCAGGAGTTGAACAATACTGTTGTCATCACTCTGCATCACAATCCAGCCAGTCGTACAATCTGAGCCAGGTTCTCTGAGCAAGCGGGGTCTCTCTCTCTCTCTCTCTTTAGTCCATAAGGACCCTCACCAACTTTTACAGATGCACCATAGGAAGCATCCTATCTGGGTGCATCGTGGCTTGGTACAGCAACTGCTCTGCCCAGGACTGTGAGAAACTACAGAAGGTTGTGAACACAGCCCAGACCATCACACAACTTCGATCCACAGACTCCATCTACACTTCTCGTGGCTGTGGAAAGGCAGCCAACATCAAAGACCCCTCCCACCCCGGTTATAATCTCCTCCAACCTCTTGTGTCAGGCAGAAGGCACAAAAGCTTAGACACACACACCAACAGGTTCAAGAACAGCTTCTTCCCCGCTGTTATTAGACTTCTGAATGGACCTCTCAAACTTCAAATCTAATGTTGATCTTGCTCTTTGAGCATCTTTCTCTGCAGCCGTAATTTCATATTTCGCTCTGTCCAATCACCCTATGATCTTTCTGTGTTATGATCTGCCTCTGCTGCTGGCAAAACAGAACTTTACACTGTACCTAGGTACATATGACGACAAGAAATCAAATCAAACTTCTGAAGAAGGGTCCCGACCCGAAACGTCAAATTTCCTGCTCCTCTGATGCTGCCTGGCCTGCTGTGTTCCTCTGGCTCCACACCGTGCAGTCTCAGACTCCAGCATTGGCAGCTCTTGCTATCTCTAAATGTATATTACGGATGTGGCCGATGACCCTCGTCCCCAGGACCCCTCTGGCAAATCTCCTCTGCCTCCCTTGGCGATAACTTCTGGTTACCCTCAGCCCTGGGTCCCCCACTGGGGTGGGGCCGCCACAAAAATCACGCGCCAGCGGGAAGGAGTCACGTGCGCTCGCCTCTTACCGTTGTTGGACTTGAGGTCGCGGTGGATGACGGGCACGATGGCCCCATCATGGAGGTACTGCATGCCCTTGCCAATTTGCACCGCCCAGTTGACCAGTACGTGGGGTGGGATCCGGCGTCCGGCCAGCGCACGGTTCAGCGGGCCCCCGGAGGCGTACTCGATGATGAGGCACAGGTTGGGCTCCTGCAGGCACACCCCGAGCAGGGCGATGATGTTGGGGTGCCGCAGCATGGCGAAGAGCCGCGCCTCCTGCATCACGTTCTGCGCCGTGGCGCTGATGTCCTCGTCGGGGTCCTGCCGGGCCGCTTTCACCGCCACCAGCCGCCCCCGCCAGGTGCCCCGGTACACCTTGCCAAAGCCCCCCACCCCTATCACTTCCTGGAGGGTCAGCTCCCGGAAGGAGACCTGGGCCGGCGCAGCCAGCTCTTCGGCGCGGCCCGACGACAGCTTGCCGTAGCCTGTGGGCGGCTGCGGGGACACGTAGTTGGCGGGGAAGATGCCCACCTTGTCTCGGAGCTTGCCGGCCCACCAGCCCTCGTCGCCAGAGATGGCCGAATCCCTGGACAGCACCTCTACCAGGTCACCCTTGCGCAGCGTCAACTCATCCTTGCCATGGGCCTCGTAGTCGAACAGGGCCGTCCAGATGGGATTGGTAAACGACCCCTCTGGCTCAAGGGGTTTGGCCGCACCCCAGGAAGCCCTGCCAAAAATGGTCTTCCAGTTGGGCTCCACCATGGCGATGGCGAATCGGTTCCTTTTGGGCTCTACCTGGGGAGCAGCATCATCATCAGAAACCCCTTCCTACCCCAGGGGTTGGCTGAGCGTCAAGAATTGGTCCTATCAACAAGCCAAGGTGCGAATCCTGATAAACTCCGGCCTTCTCTCTCTCACTCTCACACCCACTCAGGAAGCTCAGGGATCAAGCCGCAAGAGAGGTCCATGAAGCCAACACTTCCCAGGTTTGGGAGCCACCAATTCGGACCAGTTAGCCAGAGATAATTGTAACAGTATCTGTCTCCTGGTGTGTGCGTCTCTCTCTGTCTCTGTGTGTTCAAACTTTCCCGCAAAAAAATAAAATCTCACATCCACACAGTTAAATAATTTACATCGCCAAACTCTACTGGAGTGAACTTCCAAAACAGTAAAAGTTTCGTTGGGACAGGGAGGTTAGAATAATATGTTATTGCAGATTTCCAAAGTTGCAGTTTATATATTTTTTCGCCTCTGTTTCCTGTGCTGGTTTCTCTCCTGTCCTCTTGTTAAGCTTCAGTTCGATTTCACCGGGCGAGCTGCACCTCGATTTCTCTCCTGTGGGACTTCCGAGTCAATTTCTTGACACCCGCCCCCCCTCCCCGCTCAACTTTTGTGAAGTTTCGCCTCTCAGTCTTGCCTCCCTTGTGAGTTAAGGCTCAGTTCCTGCTGTGTTCCTTGCGCAAAAGTTTCTCTCCAGGCGCCTTCCGCCGAAAGTTCTCAAAAAGTTTCACTTCTGGGGAATTTCGCTTTGCAGATCTTGTGTCTATCTGTTTCTCTCTCTATCTCCGCCATTAACACCACTGCACCTCAGCACTTTTCGGGATCTTGCACTTCAACCCACTCCATCATATACCGACCGGGGTGTGGTTTCATCTCTCTTGAGAGGTTTTTTTTCCGCACACAGGAAAAGGGGCCGGCTGACACAGAGCGACAATTTCGGTCGTCGGACTGAAATTACAAGGTCTACAGCTGCCCCGGTTGGAACACGGCCACTTGCTGCTTTAGGCAAGAAGGCATGCCAGAAATTAGAGGGGCCGGTTTGTTTGGCCCCCTCTTGAGTGTTGCTTTCCTCAAGATCGCACAAATGTTATAAGAAAAAATAATCACTTTTATTTCACCAGTGTCCTTAAAGACGGGCTGCGCTGACTTAAGTTTGAAAAATTGGGCTCTGGGAACAGCAGATACGTTCTGCCACCTGCTGGCTGCGACTGGGACTGTTAGAGGACGCCTAGACCTTGCATTTCGGTAGCACCTTTCATGACCTCAGGACGTTCCCCTCTCCCCCCCCAAACAAAAATGGCACTTTGCAACAGTAGGGTGTGGCAGGAGATCTGTGCACAGCAAGATCCTACACTAATCGCCAGCTGGCCCTCGGTGCAAAGTCAACGGGGTCACGGTTTTGTGCTGGGGCCGGGGGTACTCCGTTGAATCCCGACAGTGTGGAAGTAGGCCATTCCGCCCATCGAGTCTGTACCGACCGTCCAAAGAGTATCCCACCCAGACCTATCCTATCCCTGTTACCCTGCATTTCCCATGACTAACCAGCACATCCCTGGGCACTATGGGGTAATTTAGCACAGCCAATCCACCCTAACCTGCACATCCCTGGACACTATGGGACAATTTAGCGCGGCCAATCCACCCTAACCTGCACATCCCTGGGCACTATGGGACAATTTAGCACGGCCAATCCACCCGAAGCTGCACCTCCCTGGGCACTATGGGACAACTTAGCACGGCCAATCCACCCTAACCCGCACATCTCTGGGCACTACGGGGCAATGTTACACGGCCAATCCACCCCAACCTGCACATCTTTCGACTGTGGGAGGAAATTGGTGCACCCAGAGGTGCACCACACAGACACAGAAACTCACACAGACACAGGAAGAACATGCAAACTCCACACAATCAGTCACCTGAGGCTGGAATCAAACCCAGGTCCCTGGCGCTGTGAGGCAGCAGTGCTAACCACTGAACCACCATGCTGACCCTTCAGGTGGTCCACCTGCCCAAATCTCAGCTGGCAGACCTTTGGGCACATGTTGTGGGAGAAGGAGAAGATGAGGGGAGCCTGAGGCGCGTGGGATTTGGGAGCTGTTCTTCCTTGTGTCTCCTTCTCTCTGCCTATACACTGGCCCCATCCTCAAGGTGTCTGCTGACAAGTCATTGCCATTCTGAACGACTGGCTACAAGCTCATCCCAGTCATTCGTATTAATTCCACGAGCACCTCAGAGATTCTTTGTGGATTTCCTTTGTCCTCTTATAGAATGCTGCTGATTTGAAAGTTCGAGCTGACAGGACTTGGCAGGAGGAGATGGTTGTTGGCCATACGGACACAGAGCCCGGTCCATTTTGATTGATTCTGCGAGGGTTTGCCTGAATGCTTGCAGCCACGGCTCTGAAGAGATGAGCGTTTGTTCGACCGTTCTCCCATAGAATTTGGAAGTTGAACTAATTTCTCTTGCACGGTGATGTGTTGCTGATGCACAAGTCTCACTTGGTGACAACAACTACTCTGTCCACGAGGTTTTTTTTTGTTGACCTTTGTTGTCAAACACTCGCAGCCTTTGCCTGTAGAAGATTGACCTGGTACAATGCTGGCCTTTTGAGAGAGGTGAGCTGTGGGAAGGCACAAGGGGTCTTAGTTTAACATTTCCTTTGGAAGAAGATATCTCTGACAGAGCAGTGCTTCCTCAGCATTCACCCTCCAAAAGTGCGGCGCTCCCTCAGCACTCACCCTCCGACAATGCCCACTCCCTCAGCACTGACCCTCCAACAGTGCCCACTCCCTCAGCACTCACCCTCCAACAGTGCCCACTCCCTCAGCACTGACCCTCCGACAGTGCCCACTCCCTCAGCACTGACCCTCCGACAGTG